AGTGCTTGCCTCACATACACAAGGCCCTGGGTTCAATCCTCAGCAACACACACACTGTCTTGTGTGTCTCTCTCTCTCTCTCTCTCTCTTTCTCTCTCTCTCTCTCTCTCTCTCTCTCTCTCTCTCTCTCTCTCTCTCTCTCAAAACACCTAGGAATGTAAATTCCATGTATACTTTCAGAATGTCATGCTCAGCCTGTACTGCACAGTGCTGTGGACTCACTGGTGACCAGGAGTCCTGGTTCTGCACCACTAGTCTTTGACAGCTCAAAGTTGGGAGGGCAATTATGGGGGCGGGAGGCACAAGCAGAGTGGAAAGCTGGGATTGGAAGCCTAGAAAAGAGGTAGATTCATTTGGCTTGATAGAAAATATTTTGGAAGAACTTTGCAGGTAGAGGAAGTAGTATGTATATTACCATGAGATAGAAGAGTGTGTCATATTTGCACCAGGATGTGCAAATGTCTACGGTGAAAGACATTTGCATTCTGGGAATTACAGGTAGTTTGGATCTGAGGCTTAGAGGCCTGTGAATATTGGAGAAACTTCCCAGTGATGGCTTACAGGGCTCGTGGCCGTGGGGAGGGAGGTGTGGAACTTTATTCTGAGGGTGTTGGGAAGCCAGGCTAGGCAGCTCCTTGTCTTGGTTGTGTCACTTACAGAATGTCTTCCTGCCTAGAAGGCAGACTTGAATGGGCAGGAGTAGAGGCGGAAGAGGGAAAAGTCCAGAGGCCAGGGGAGTGTCTAGACTGCCTCAGGGGATGGAACATGGAGAGGAAAACCAGAAATGCCCCCACCAGGGGAATTTTTGGCAGATTGCTTCAAAACATCCTTGACCCTTGACTCCCCCAGCACACACACAGCTGTGTCTCTGGCACCTTTTTTTTTGCCTAAGACCTTGTTACAGTTTTCACAAGAGGGTTCCTGTGTTTTGTTCAAGTCCCACTTGCTGTAAAGCAAGACAGTTTGCTGGGGAGGTGTTTGGGGGACCTAGTTCAGATGGAATTGGGTTGTGGAGCTGGTGCTGTCACCTTCTCAGCCCTGTCAGTGTTGGATCCTTGGAGAGCCTGTTTCTTCTTAGTAAAATTGGAAGTCAGTGATGCTACCTCGTGGGATTTTTATAAGGATTTTTATTTTACCTTATTTGTTTGTATGAGGGGCTAAATTGAACCCAGTGCCTTCCACATGGTAGGCAAGGCTGTACCACTGAGCCCCCGCCTAGCTCTTTAGTGAGGATTTATGAAGTAATTTCCATGTAACATTTTGCGGTATCTTTTTCTTTTTGGTATCCAGAATTGAACTAAGGGGCACTTGACTAGACCTATTTTGTATCTTATTTAGAGACAGGATCTCACCGAGTTGCTAAGTGCCTCGCTTTTGCCAAGGCTGGCTTTGAATTCACAATCCTCCTTCCTCAGCCTCCCAAGCTGCTGGGGTTACAGGCATGTGCCTGGCTTTTATTTATTTATTTATTTTTGTACCAGAGATTGAATCTGGGGCCACTTAACCACTGAGTCAGACCCTTTTTCGACATTAATTAGAGACAGGGTCTTGCTAGTTGCTTAGGGCCTCTCTAAGTTGCCAAGGCTGGCTTTGAATGGGCCATCCTACTGCTTCAGACTCCCGAGCCACTGGATTACGGGCGTATGCCATCATGCCTGACATTATATGGTATTTTTACCCATCTATGTTTGTGTGCTAGATGAACCAGGCATGGGGAGACTGCAGCAAACAACTCAGAGTGGCCTGTAGCTGTGAAGACAGTGAGTAAACATTAGGTCAGGAGTTGGAAAATGTCATGAAGTAAAGGCAAATAGGATAAGATGAGGGGCAGGAGGAGGGACACAGAGTGATGTGTTGACACGGTGGTCAGAGAAGGCTTCTAGGAAGTGGCAACATTTCTGTTGAGACCTGAATGACTAGAAGGAGGCATCCGTGGAAACATCTGGAGAAGGTGGTTTCTTTCTCCAGCTAGTGCAGATGCCTGGTGGTAGATGGGTGTGTTTGTCTTGAGAAAGGGCTGGGAGACCTGTGTGACTGGAGGCTTGGGGGTGAGCTGGCGTTTGGGCAGACATGAGTTTGGGAGACTTACCAGGACGGCATCGAGAGGGCCTGTGTCAGGATGTGAGTGGCAACGGAAAGAAGTGCCTGTCTTTAAGGAGCACTGTGCACTGGGCATTCGTGTTCCTCCTGGCAGCTCAGCAGGCAAGTGTCGTGAGGTCCACTTCTTGTAGAAGAACGTACTCAGTCACTTGAGTGGTCCTTGGCAGGCTGCTGCTCTTGTTGGGGGGGGGTCTTCAGAGTTTACTGCCTGTGGCATTCTGGGTACCTTCTCAGTTGGCCTTGCGCCTGGGCCATGCCTCTCTCCATCACTCTTTCTTTTCCTGACCACTGTTTCTTTTCCTGACTGCAGAGCTGAAGAAGTCCCTGTATGCCATTTTCTCCCAGTTTGGCCAGATCCTGGATATTCTGGTGTCGCGGAGCCTCAAGATGAGAGGTCAGGCCTTTGTTATCTTCAAGGAGGTCAGCAGCGCCACCAATGCCCTGCGATCTATGCAGGGTTTCCCCTTCTATGACAAGCCCATGGTGAGCACTCCGGCACAGCAGTTATGTATCTATGGGTTATGTGTGTTTGTGGGTGTGGTAAGTCCAGGCAGATCCTGTGGGAGGCAGTGGGCACCAGGAACTGGTGGGCTCCTGTTCCCTCTGACCAGAGAGAACAGAGTGTTGAAGCCTACTACTCGTAACTTCTGGGTGTGAGCCTGGTGTCACATCTTCTAGTTACTTTCTCAAGCATCTCAGATGGTTTGTTTGGTGGTACTAGGCATTGAACCTGGAGCACGTTACTACGGAACTACATCCCTTTTTTTATTTTGAGCCAGTTGCAAGAATGGCCTCAAACTCGTGATTCTCTTGCTTTGGCCTCCCACATAGCTGAGGTTACCACATCTCAGGCTTAGGAATTGATTTTTGAGGATTTAAAATTATGAATGTTTTTGTGTCATTCCTTCTCTCACATTTTTCCCAAGTCACTACTTGGAGCACATGAAGCACTCAGGTATGTGTGAGTTGTCAGAAAGTGCTGTTGTCTCTTTTCTTTTTTTTTTTTTAATTTTTTATTTTGGTACTGGGGATTGAACTCAGGGCACTGAGCCACATCCCCAGACCAATTTTGTATTTTATTTAAGGGCAGGGTCTCACTGAGTTGCTTAGTGCCTCTCCCTTTCTGAGGCTGACTTTGAACTCGAAATCCTCCTGCCTTAGCCTTCCAAGCCACTGGGATTACAGGTGGGCACCACTGCTTCTGGCCTAGGCTCCCTGCTTTGATCCCTGTTCTCCACAGGCCATTCTCTACCACCACCATCCTTTTTTTGAGGTGCTGGGGATTGAACCCAGGCCTTGCACGTGCTAGGCAAGTTCCCTAACACTGAGCTACATCTCCAGCCCCACAGCCTCTGTTTTATGACAGTGAGGGCTTGTCACTGTCCTTACAATACTCCTAGCTGTCATCTTTCTAAGAAAACACAAAGCCTTCACTGTGGTCCCCAGTTGACCTTATGACGTTTCCTCCTCATTTCTTGAGCCTCTTTGCTATTCCTGGAACACACCACAGAGGCCTTAGCTCTTAGTTCCTTTGCTAAAAGGCTCCATTACCAGATGTCCTTATGGCTCATTCCCTGCCTTCCTTTCTGTCTGTGCACAAGTTAGTGCAATCTTGGTACAGAGGTGGCATTTCTGGCTATCCTCTCTGAAAATTCCCTTTTCAACAATGACAACCCGTCTCAGTTCGTGTTTGACTCTTCACTGTACCTTCATTCACTGAGAATGCACCATCTGGGCAGGGCTTTTGTCTGCTCTGCTCACCGCTGTGCTCTCAGAGCCTAAAATGGGGCCTGATGTGCAGTGGGTTCTCTGCAGGCAGCGGCATGAATCAGATTTGGCCTGGATGACTGATCCTCCTTGCGGCTGGAACTCCCCTGCATAGTGCTTGTGTCCTAGCTTTGCCTTCTCAGGCTGTCTTTGGCCTGATACTCGGGGCTGTCCCATCTCTCTTTAAAAATACCAATAACTTATTTTCTGAGCAGTTGCTGTGTCTAGTTCTTATAGCAATCATTCCATGTGGGGAATTCCATAATCCCCATTTTATAGATGAATATTGAGGCAATTCTTTTTTTTTTTTTAAGTGGTGTTAGATTTCAAACCCTGGGCCTCAAGCATGCTAGGCAAGTGCTCTGCTCTTAAAATTGAACCTAGGCAATGTGGCTCTGAAATCCCCACCCTTAATCTTTCTGTTCTCTGTTTGGTAGCGTATCCAGTATGCCAAGACTGATTCAGATATCATTGCCAAGATGAAGGGCACCTTTGTGGAGAGGGACCGCAAGCGGGAGAAGAGGAAGCCCAAGAGCCAGGAGACCCCAGCTGCCAAGAAGGCTGTGCAGGGTGGGGCGGCTGCTCCCGTGGTGGGAGCGGTCCAGGGGCCTGTCCCGGTAAGCAGGGCACAGAGACGCATCCCTCTCATCACTAGGCCTTTCACATGGCCTGACATGGGGGCAGGATGGGGTATGTTCTCCATGTGGGGACTCACATGCTTCCATTCCATTTTCTTACAGAGATTGTTGTCTTTTGGTGGTGTTGAAATTCCTAATCTCTCCCTACTTGATTGTTTCTGAAGATCTTTTTCCATGCCTGTCATCTAACTTCTCTCCTTGACCTTGATTTTAATGTCTGTATCTTTTTGGGGGGCAGGGGTAGTATTTGGGGTTGAACTCGGGTGCTCTACCACTGAGCTACATCCCCACCCTTTTTTATTGAGACAGGATTTTGTTAAGCCCTGAAGCTGGCCTTGAACTCGTTATCCTATCTCAGCCTCCTGAGTTGCTGGGATTGTAGGCCTGTACCACCATGCCTGGCTTCTCATCCCTTTTTAATTTTTATTCTGAGACAGGGTTTTGCTAAGTTGCTGAATCTGGCCTCAAATTTTTTTTTTTTTTTTTTTTTAGAATTTTTAATATTTATTTTTTAGTTCTCGGCGGACGTAACATCTTTGTTGGTATGTGGTGCTGAGGATTGAACCCCGGCCGCTCGCATGCCAGGCGAGCGCGCTACCTCTTGAGCCACATCCCCAGCCCCTGGCCTCAAATTTGATCCTTGTCTCAGTCTCCTGAGTAGCTGGAATTACAACATCACCTATTATGTGTCTTTTTAAGTCACCAGTTATGTAGAAAATCCAAAAGAATCTACTGACTGTTGGGACAAATAAATGAATTTAATTTGAAAAGGTTGCTGAATAGAAGATCCATGTGAAAAAAGTTCTATTTCTGTGCTTATAACAAAGTTCATATTGAAAAATAGCACCAAGGGAAAAACGCATAAAACTGCTACCTGAAACAACCGAATGTTGCTGGGAAAAATAGGAGACTTCAGCCACGGATGAGAAGACTCAGTGCCATATTGTTAAGAGATTGGTTCTCTTTACACTTGATCTAAATACTTTTTGTTGTTGTTTGTTTGTTTTGGGTACCAGAGATTGAACCCTTGACCATTTAGCCACATCTTTAGCCCTATTTTGTGTTTTATTTAGAGACAGGGTCTCACTGAATTACTTGGCGCCTCACTTGCTGAGGCTGGCTTTGAACTCATGATCCTCCTGCTTTAGCTTTGTGAGCTGCTTGGATTACTGGTGTGCGCCACTGTGCCCAGCTTAAACACAATTGCTGCAGTCCAAATCCCAGTAAGAGGTCAGTAGACAATGCTTGGAAAGGCCAGGCCAAGGCAGGCAAGATGATTAAAGCTGGGCCAGAAGACTTGTTGTGAAGTTGCAGCGATCGAGATGATGTACTGTTGGCAAAATAGTAGAAAGATGGACCAGTGAATGGAACAAAGTCTAGAAATAGTCACACACATTGGCCACTTGATGTTTGATGAGGGTGCCACTGCAGTTCAGTGGAACTTATTTTTTTCCCAGTAAGTGATGCTGGGCAGTTGGATCTGTAAGAGAAAAGAATTATTGTCCCCTCATATTATATATAAAAGGTAATTTCAGCTGAGCCATAGACCTGAATGTGACAACTAACAGAAGAAGAGTTAAGAAAACATGAAAATGTCCTCCTGACTTTGAGGCTGAAAAGCGGGAGCATCCTGTTTTCTAACAGGATGCCAAAAGTGCTGACACAAAAGAAAGGATGAGTGAGCCAACCCCCTTCTTAGGTCTCCATGTCTCTCTAGCCCTCAGAGTCTTATGGTGCTCAGGCTGTGTCACGTTTTATCTGGAGTCGGTGATGGTGTCTTGAGTCTCTGTTGGGCTTTTCCGTTGTTACCAGTCTCTCGGGGCCTAGTCTTCCCTCCATATTTGACTTCTAAGGTTGGAGGCTTGCTCTGGGCTACACTGTGTGTTGTGTGCCCTGGGCTGGCTCCCACTTCACCTCTCTGGCAACCATTTGTATCTTCCCTGACCGTCTCTTTCCATTGCTGTCTTCCATGCCCACCCCACCTTTCTTTTTCTGTGGTGCTGGGGATGCATGCCGGAGCCTGTTCATGCTAAAGCAAAGGCTCTACCACTGAGCCACATTCCAGCCCTCCATTATCTTTGTTTCTCCCCACGTCTCTGAGTCTGTTTCTTTATTTAGTTTTTGTTTCTTAGAAGCAAAAGTACAGGATGCTCCTTAGCATGTTTCTACACCTTTGAGTTCACAGTTGTTTGCATTTCCGCCTCAGTCTTGTTTTCTATTTATATATCTGTAAACAAGGTTGGGTTCCACTAATTTTTATACCTTCAAAATTCTTTTAGAAAATTTGTTTTCTGATGTACTGTTGCCCTTGAGCCCAGGTCCCTTTTGCTCCATCTGGTATCTTGGTGCCCTTTTTTTGGCCTTCTCCTCTTTTATTTCTTACCTACAGGGTTTCTTCTAACAGCCTTTGCTCCTTTGTCTCCTGCGGGCACTGTAGCCGCACCGTCTCCTGTCCTCAGTCCTGCTCTCTTTCTCCACAGGGCATGCCTCCAATGACTCAGGCACCCCGCATCATGCACCACATGCCGGGCCAGCCTCCCTACATGCCACCCCCTGGCATGATCCCGCCACCAGGCCTTGCACCAGGCCAGATCCCACCAGGGGCCATGCCCCCACAACAGCTTATGCCAGGGCAGATGCCACCTGCCCAACCTGTAAGTGTTCAGTCCCTCCAGGGTTTCATGTGAAATATAGGATAGAAGGGGACCGTGCAGGGGCTGCTATAGATTGTTGGTTTGGGCAGACTCCCAAGGGGTTGGTACTGAAGCAGAGATACCTCAGTAGTGAGCTCCTAGCAATGGGCTTGGACCCTGGGGTAGAGAGGAATTGGCATGTTTGGTGGAGGTCTGGTAGGGCAGGTCGAAGCTGGAGCGGTGCCCAGCATCTAGGGTCATTTTGTGAACTTCTGTTGAGCACCTGCTCGTGTACCAGCGCTTATGCTGTACTCAAGGGATAGGTCAGTGGCCAAAACAAAAACCTCTGCTGTTTTATGGCCTGCAGTTTGTAGGGGTACAGGGTATTGGTACAGGGGCAACAGCATGTTTCAGAGGTGCTAGAAAGAATTCAAGTAGTGGGGGGGTGGTGAGTAGAGGGCAATGCCACGGATCCCTCCAGTCCACTCAGCACTTCATGCTCATGGGCTTCCTTTCCTCTCCTGCAGCTTTCCGAGAATCCACCAAATCACATCTTGTTCCTTACCAATCTGCCAGAGGAGACCAACGAGCTCATGCTGTCCATGCTTTTCAACCAGTAAGTAGGGCTAGTAGCTGGGCTAGAGCTAGAGGGTGATGGCCAGAAGGTGTCACCAGGGGAGTGAGTCTTGGAATTGTGCTGGCAGAGCCCCAAGCCAACTCAGGCTTGGCAGTAGGGATAGCAACTGAAGGAGGAGGAGGAGGAGGAAGCCAAAGCTGGTGATGAGACAGATTGGGTAACCATGGCCAGTGCACGTTGGTCTTTGTCAGCCAAGGCTTTGGTTCATTTTTCTAATCTTTAAAATGGAAAAATGGATGAGATTGGTGTTCATCCGTGCAAGGTGTATATAAAACGATAGCAAGACCTCATTGATCACTGGCTAGCTGACAAAAAGGTGGAGGTGGAGGTGGAGGTGTGTGAACCCTGGTGCCATGGTGAGGAGGATGAGACTGTGTGGCCATCAGGTGGAGCAACTGTTAAACAGGTGTCGAGGATGTAGGCGAGTTCACCTAGTGGTTCTGCTTTGTGTGTCCCACAGAAAGTCTTGAAAACAAGTCAGTTCCCAGTAGCTGTGAAAGGGGTAATCGTCACAGTGTCACCGTGGAGAGTAGGAGGCAGCCCTGAAGACAGGATGGCTCATGCTGATACTTACCATGGCCTACAGTGTGGCCATTTAGAGAAGTGGAGACGGCAGTGTAATAGTTGCTTTATGATAATGCTGAGGAATTTTTGAGAAACTGAACAAAACTGAAACAATACCACTTGTATGCCATGTCCACAAAACTGTGTATTTTGTGAAAATACTGATGGAAGAAGATGCCTGGTAAACTGAGGAGGGTTTTCTAGTGGAGAAAGCAGTAAGGAATGAGAAAAGGGAGATTAAAGCAGCAGCATATCAGCGTATTGGAAAAGTGAGAGTAGCGATTCTTTTCGAAGCTGGAAGTGGGTTGTGATGGGGGAAGGATGGGGTTTCGGCATTTAGTGTCGTCATCAAGGTTGTGGTTTCCCGGGTGTCGTGTTAAGATTTTTCATTAAGCAGCTTGTTTACATTGGGTTTCTCAGCTCAGCGCTGCATGTTCTATATGGGCTACTCCTTTGTCGTGGGGGCCTGTCCTGAGCATTGTAAGATGTTCAGCATCTTCCTGGCCTCTGCACTCTACCTGCCAAAATGTTAGGGGGACATGTCTGAGGTCTGTCATTTCCTTCTCTCAGGTTCCCTGGCTTCAAGGAGGTCCGCTTGGTCCCTGGGCGGCATGACATCGCCTTTGTGGAGTTTGACAACGAGGTGCAGGCAGGGGCAGCTCGGGATGCCCTCCAGGGCTTTAAGATCACCCAGAACAACGCCATGAAAATCTCCTTTGCCAAGAAGTAGCACCTTTTCCCTAGGCCTGTCTTTACCCCTGTTCTGGGGCTGTCCCTTCCCCCTTGGCTCAGCCCCTGAAGGTAAGTCCCCCTTTGGGGGCCTTCTCAGAGCCGTGTGTGAGTGCGTGGTCGCCACACAGCATTGTACCCAGAGTCTGTCCCCAGACATTGCACCTGGCGCTGTAAGGCTGGAATTAAAGTGGTTTTTTGAGGTTTGGTTTTTCGCAACCGTTTGTCTCTTTATTTTCTTGCTTTCCATGGTTCCCTTCTCTCCACATCAGCACATCATGGGCTTTTGGACCTCTTGGCATTTTGGGGTTTGCAAACTTGGGGAAACACACAGTAGTATAATAATGTTATCCAGTCTTAAGTACTGCTTTGGCAATTTTCTGTTGTCTCAAGTCAGCTTTTGGGGCAAGAAGTAGAAATGGAGGACTGCCGTGTACTGGCAGGTTGTGTATTGCACAAGGATGCACCTCCAGCGACACACCATTTTATCTGGATGTCATCTCCCGCTTAGGCTTTAAGCCTAATTCTGCTCCTGCTTTGCTCTCTTCATTAAAGAGGAATGTCTTCCTGCCTCCACAGGCAGGAAGATTGCAAGATCAAAGCCAGCCTGAGCATCTTAGCAAGACTTTGACTCAAAAATAAAAAAGGGCTGGGGATGTAGCTCAGTTGTAGAGTGCTCCAAAAAAAGTCTGTTAGAAGTGACAAAGTAAGTGGGTGCAGTGGTGCACAACTATAATCCTACTGTGGAGACTGAGGCAGGAGGATCCCAAATTGAAGGCTGGCCGGGGCAACGTAGCAAGACCCTGTCATTAAATAAAAAGGACTGGGATGTGGCTCAGTGGTAGAGCATTTGCCTGACAAGCATGAGGCTCCCCAACACTTTAAAAAAAAAAAAATTGAAGTCGTGCATTGTCAAATGCAGAATTTTTCCTGTGTGGTCTAAAGAGGAAGAAGAGAGGGATTGCCATCTTTGTTAAATGATGCAGTGTTACTGCAGCAGGTCAGTGGAGACATCTCACCTACCACTTTGGGCACCACAGCCTAGTGGCTATGATTTGTGGCTTTTGTGGCCAACCAGTCCTGGTTTCCACTCTGGGAAGTCCCTGTTACCCCATGTGCAATTGATGTCCCTCCCCTGAGCTTCATTTTCTTCCTATGTGAAGAGGAATCCTGTTAATACTCCAATAAGGTTAGTACTCACTCTCCTCCCAAAACCCACACATTCACATACACATTTATGCTACCAGGTACTTAGCAAGCACCCAAATCAGCATTTTTGCTTAGTAGTACCTATTAGGTACTAAATAAACACTTTAGATTCTAGAGTTAGAGAATATAATGAAATAAGTAGATGAGCTAGTTTCAAGTATTCTAATGGAAGCACAAGTGCTGGGGTGGGGTAGCAGGACTGGGAACAGTTTTGGGTGTCAAGAAAAGGCCCTCTGAGAAGGTGTATCTGAGTAGAAGTGACTTAGGCTCGTGGCCTGTGGTGATGGGTGCTGGGTTTGTAGAAATGGCTGAAGCCATTTGACAGACTCCTCCCTGACTACAAGCTTGTTTTGTGTCCTGCCTCTGCCCAGCAAAAAAAAAGTTTGGATCACTCAGTGCAGAGTTGAGGGCCCTGGGAGTGGTGTGGATCCTCTGGAGAATGGTCTTCTGCGTGTGGGTCTCTAGTGGAAACAAGTTTACAGGTGAGACATGAATCAGATCCTCTACTACCTCATTTTGTTTCTGGCTGGTGACAACCCCAGAGCCTGATTTCTCCTCAGCAAGACAGAAGAGAAAGCTGAGGGGGAAGCATTGCAGAGAGGCAATTTTGGGTCTGAACCCCAAAAGACAAGGAGCAGCCTCCCATGTGATTATCTGGAGTCAGTGTAATGGTTCCATGGTGGGAGTGAGCTCAGTGTTGGGGACTAGGGAGAAGGAAGACCTCCAGGGAATGCAGTGTGCGTGGTGTTCCATAGACCTGTGCTTTGGTGGCCCTTTTGTTTATGTGGATACAATTGGAGTGAGAAGGATATAGGATGGACTTTGGGGCTTGCCGTGCCTGCCTCTGGGTCATGGATAAAGCTTTGGTGTGGTAGCTAGCCTCTAAGATGGTTTCTGATAATGACCAGCCTCTGATATTCTCACTTTTGTGAAATCCACTCCCCCCACCCACCCTTTTGGGGCCCGGATACGGGGGATTGAACTCAGGGCACTCGGCCACTGAGCCACATCCCCAGCCCTATTTTGTATTTTAGAGACAGGGTCTCACTGAGTTGCTTAGCGTCTGTCTTTTGCTGAGGCTGGCTTTGAACTGGGATCCTCCTATCAGCCTCCCGAGCAGCTGGGATTACAGGCATATGCTACTGCACCCAGCTGAAATCCCCTTTTGGGCATGAGCTGGACCTAGTGACCTGCTTTAAGTGAATATAGCAGCCCCACATTTTTCTGTGAAGAATGCATTCTAAGATCTCCTATACACTCCTGAAGCCAGGAGCTGTACCAAACTGTGCAGTGCTTTTTCCATCGGTAAGTATTTGTCATGTACTGAGGCTGTAACTTGCTGTTTAAGGTGTGATAGCAAAACTCACATGAATTTCCTTTTCCTTCACAATTTCACACAAGAGTCATTCTTAACCATGGATCTTAGCAACCTCATCCTGATTTCATTTCCTTTCCTCATTATCACTTTTTAACTTAAAGCACTTTATGGCCTCTCAGCATCATTGCTGCTTTTTTAATTGCTACATCATAACTACCTAATAGTGAGATTTATCATGATATATTTGTACATGCACATTGCATAATTTGGTGTATTTTCCTGTACTTTTCCCTAGTCCCCATCCTCTACTCTAATGGTCTTTCTCTTATTTGCATGAGATCCTCTCCTTGTTCCCTTTTTTATTTTTTTCTCTCTAGTTTCCACATAGAGAAAACATGACCCTTGACTTTCTGTTTGACTCATTTCACTTAGCATGATCTCCAATTTCATCCATTTTCCTGCAAAAGACATAATTTTGTTCTTTATGGCTGAGTAGAATGCCGTTGTGTGCATATATCAGACATTCATTATTCATTCATTTGTTGAGGCACGTCTACGCTGGTTCTATAACTTGGCTATTATGAATTATGCTGCTATAAATGTGGGTACGCATGTATCACTATAGTAAGCAGAACCATTACTCTTAAGCTTTGGGGCTACTATTAAACAAAATAAGGGTGACTTGAACACAAGCATGGGGGCTGGGTACCTGACAGCCTATGTAGCTACCTAAGTGACTAATGTGCAAGGAGCATATACAGTGTGTGTCCACTGGACAAAGGGATGATTCCCGTCGGGGCAGGCTGGAGTAGATGGTGTGAGATTTCATCATACTCGGGATAGCATAATTTAAAGTCATTGTTTATTTCTGGAATTTTCCATTTAATATTTTCAGAAGGCTGGTAACTGAAACCACAGAAATTGAAAACTGCTGATGGTGGGGAGTGGACACTACAGCAAAAATAATGGGATGTCACTTCCACGATAAGATTACAAAGACTGGCTTCTTGTTGCTAGCTGTCTTTGAAGAGATACATGTGGCAAGAAGCTGAGGGAAGCCTCTAGACAACAGCTAGTGAGGACAGAGGCCCACAGTCCAGTTTCCACAAGGAACTGAATCGTTCCAACCATTGTCTGAGAGCTTGGAATCAGATCCTCCCCAAGTCCAGCTGTCGATGGACCTGCATCCCTGGCTGACAGATTGATTGTAGCCTTGTAGGCCCATAGGCAACTAGCTAAGCCATGTCTAGACTTCTGACCCAGAGAAATAGCCATAATGTTGGTTTTAAGCTACTACATTTTGGGATAATTATTATCCAGCAATAGGTAAGTAAATTGGGCTTTGGAAAATAAAGTCATTTCTATAACTTTGTGACTTCTTCAGTAATACTGGGGCCACAGTATTGAGCATATTCTCTTCTCCTTCTCTTTCCTTCCCCCCATCCCCTTTCCTCTTCCTCCCTCTCTCCTCAGCAGTACTGAGAATTGAGCCCAGAGATGCTCTACCACTGAGCTACATCCCCACCCTTTTTATTTTGAGACAGGTTCTCACTAAGTCCCCAGGCGATCCTTGAACTTGTGATTCTTCTGTTTCATTCTCTAGGATTACAGGTGGAGTGTGTTCTAAATACCATTTTTTTGGTGGGGGGAGTGGCGCTAGGTATTGACTCCCACAAACAGTATATGCTGAGCATGCTCTGTACCACTGAGCTATACTCTGAACCCCTTTAAATATACTTAGTACACTATCTCGTATACCTGGTAAAAGAAGACATATAAATAGTATACTGAACTCCCATATTTCCTTCAGTTTTGCTTATTTTTTTTCAAGTTAGATTCTACTCTACTTCTCAAATTATTTTGAAGCAAATCCCAAATAGTCTATTAGCCCAGTATCAGCTTTGTATTTAAGCATTTTCTAAAATATACAAACCAAACACAATGCCATGATCATGCCTAAATAAGTTTTTAAACTGCACTCAATACCTGATTAGTATTCAGATTTTCAAAATTTGTATACATACTTCTGAATACACTTAGAGTCAGAATTCAGAAGAAGTTTACATATGGTAGCTGGTTGATATGCTTTTAAATCTTTTTAAATGTAGGCCACACAGAGAACAGGGTGTGGTAGCCACACCTGTAATCCCAATTTGGGAGTCTGAGGCAAATTAGAGGCTAGCCTCACCAATTTGAAACTGTCTCAAAATGAAAAGAGGACTGGAGATGTAACTCAGTAACCCCGGGTTCAATCCCCAGTACAATAAAAATAAAATAAAAAAGTTATAGGCCACTCCTCAGTTACATTCTGTCCCCCTTACTTTCTTTGTTAGTTTATTCCTTGTTAAGATTTGATGGTTTGATCTTATGCTTGTATAATTTTGTCAAAATTGATCTGTCATAACTAAGAAGAAGCAATAAGAAAATAAAATAAAAACAAAAATGAAAAAGATATGATGGTCTGGATTTTGTTGACTGCATCTTTGTCAGGTCACTCAATATTCTTGGGTTCCCCAAGATCCATTTTGAATTTGGATGAGAGTGTTTAACCCTCACAAGAGCCCTATGAGGTTGGAGAACAGAGATACCTGTGGGCTTGCAGGCAAATCTTGACTCCTCTAGTCAAGGCTAAGACTGTGTTGGCTTAGACAAGTCTCTTTTTTTTGGCACTAGGGATTGAATCCAGGGTGCTTAAGCACTGAGCCACATCCCCAGCCCTTTGTTTTTTTGAGAGGAGGTCCTCACTAAGTTGTCTAGGCTGGCCTTGAACTTGAATCCTCTTGCTTCAGTGAGTTAATAGGAATTACAGATGTGTACCATCTTGCAGGGGCCAAGTTCCTTAACTTTCTGCACTTCCATTTCCATGCACATGGGGTTATCACAGTCCTTTCTGAGGTGATGCAGAATATCCGTCTGGAATTAACAAAATAAAAATTTATGAATGCTCTGTAACTTTTGCTTTTATTCCTATCCCCATTTTATGTATGAGCAAGGTGAGGCTCTATTTCTATAGCTTAGCCCAGGTCATCCAGTCAGGAAGTGGCAGTTGGGGATGAATAGTGAACATGGTGGGACATTACCTAGCCCGAGGCCCAACATAAAGTATTCACTGGATCATCTGAGAGGTGGGCCTGTCCTGGTAATCAAAAGGTTGCCTTGTTCTGCCCCTCAGCACAGGAAATTCCAAGGTGGTTTTCCACATTAGCTCCTCTGGTTCTGTACCTGGAGGGAGAGTGAAGGCGTCCAGTTACCTGAGCTGACTCCAGGGATTCAAATATCTCATACCTGCGTGTCTGGGCCTCTGCTGGGGGGTGGCTGTCACTTGTAGTGGTTTGGGTTACTTGGGGCCTATCTGGGCATTTCCTGGGGCCTACAGCCCTCACCCTGTCCTTGAAATGGTTTTGGCTGGATAGCAGCCTCTAGGTGGTGTGGGTAAAATTTGGGACTGGTTTTGGGCGGGGACAGGACTGAGAACACAGGTTTCCTTGTTTCTGGGGAGAGGAAGGGCAGGAAGAAATTGGAGACCCCATCCCCCACCTGGTCACTGTTGTTCCATAGTCCATGATGGCGTGTTCCCCAGTGCTCCTTGGTGTCATCCTCTTCCTGACTGCCTTTCCAGGGTCTACTGTCACAGGCCGTTCCATGCCCAAACTGGCTGATCGGAAGCTGTGTGCTGATGAGGAATGCAGCCGTAAGAGTGGGAAGGGTGGGTGGGGGCGGCCGGCGGGCCTGGGGACTTCGGTTGCAGGTCTGTGGATGGAGTGCTGTTATTCCCTTTTATTTCTTCTCCAGACCCCATATCCATGGCTGTGGCCCTTCAGGACTACGTGGCTCCTGACTGCCGTTTCTTGACCATACACAGGGGTCAAATTGTCTATGTCTACTCAAAGCTGAAGGGCCGAGGGCGGCTCTTCTGGGGAGGCAGTGTGAGTCTTGGGAGAATGGAAGAGGGAGGACTATGGGGTTGGGTGGAAGTTGACCCACTTCTCCACCTAAAGAGCAAATTTGGGGTAAACTGATATCCAGATACTTGGGGAAGGGTACGTTTTGTGACTTAGTTTATTTTTACTTTGTTTAGAAAGTACACCTGCTTTTCTAGACACCTAAAATACTACAAGCGATTCCTTTAATGAAGGGAGATGAGCAATAAGCCATCAAAAATGTCAGAAAATATGTGCTTCTATGAACATTTATATTGAATGAATGGGTGGCTACACATGCTCTGGGAGGGGTATGAGTAGGTGACATTTATACAGATCCAAATGACAGGGTTAGAGCCAGGCATGTGGGGATCCTATAGGAGGCAATGCAGAAGCTTCCAGCAGGAATGAGGGTTCTCTCAGACCCAGCTTTTAACTCCTCTTTCCCAGGTTCAGGGTGATTACTATGGAGACCTGGCTGCTCGCCTAGGCTATTTCCCCAGTAGCATTGTTCGGGAGGACCAGACTCTGAAACCTGGCAAAATTGATGTGAAGACAGATGTGAGTGTCCTGAGGGGTGGCAAGTTTCCTGGAGTAGGAGGACCCTTGGGTTGTGATGGTGGGCAAATATAACGCCTATGCTCTCTGGTAGCCTTGCTGTGTGTGCTGGGACAAATGCATTTTTTGCCTCAAATTTCTCATCTGTAACAGGGAGTGATTTCTACACCAGGATCTACTTGAAAGGTGCAAAGGTATAGGGCTCTAGGCTAATTTACATAGCTCCTGTGTGGCCAAACCTGGCCCCAAGGCTGCAGCTTTTGCTTAAACCACTAGATCTGATGCTGGTTTTCTCTTCACTGTTTTCCCTTTCTCTTTTTCAGAAATGGGATTTCTACTGTCACTGAGCTCAACCTACCGCGATTCCTGCTGTTTTCCCCTCCTGGCCCTATGCAAATACATTAGTTAGTGCAAACTGCCCGTCTCTGTGGTTTTGGGGGGTGGAGTGGGGCTGTACAAAGGAAATGCTTTGCAGGTTTCTGAATCTAGCCAATCAACTCCCTGAATGTGGCATCGTCAATGGTTGCTAGGCAGAGTTGGATCAAAGCCTTTTCGCTCTAAGCTGGTACCCTAGGCGGGCTCCTAAGATTAGATCTTGCACACAAGCAAGAGAGAAGACGGAATCAAACACCCAACTGAGGGACTGTGTCCTCTCTTGACCAATGAGAGGGAGTTGAACTATTGGGAATGCGCCAGTTGGGCCAGAGAACATAAAACATAAATCGCAAAGCAGGTGTTTTCTTGGAGAGCATCTGCAAAGCCGGGTGGGAAGTAACCTGCGCGTATCTTCCCAGTTTTCCTTTTTCCTGCCTTTGGGGTCAGAAATTCACCCACCAGCTCAAGATTGCTCCAATCCTGCCCTTGTCCCTTGTTTGCATCCATATCTCCGCCCCAAGTCTGTTCCTGTCCAATCCGGAGTCTCTACTCTCCCCTCGGACTCCTGACCAAATCCGTTCCTCCGCCGGGCGATGCATCTCAGAACCGCCCCTTCCCACTTGCTCTGCCAATTGCTCACCTTGCTCCCGCCCCCTTCGGCTCAGCCCCTCTCAGGCCACCAATCCGCACCCTTTGTCCCGCCCTCTGCCTGCCGAGTCCGCCAATCCCTCCTTTTGGAAAGCGTGGCCTGGTATCCCGCAGCTCTAGCGGGTCGCGCCGGAGCGGGCGGGGGGTGGAGGCGGAAGTGGCGGCGCCGGGTCCGGGAGTAGGAAGGAGCCGGGGCTGCAGCCGGAGTGGAGCGGCTGCCAGCCGAGGAGCAGGCGCGGCCGCGGCGCCATATTGCGGCCCTCAGCGGCCGCGACCAAGTCATGGCCGAGACCTACGGTGAGGGTGGTGGGCCGAAGCTGGGGTCTGGGCCCAAAGAGGATGCGGCCTGTGGGAATGGGGCGGGGCCTTATGTACCTGGGGGCGGGGTCTGCCTCTATGGGGGCAGGGCCTAAGTGGATGCTGGGAGGGGTTTCGTGGGTCTAGGGCTGAGCTTAATCGATTTGGGTGGAGCCTGAGGGTCTGGTGCGTGCGTTAAATAGATACGGGATTCGAGAGAGCGGGTCTCTCTCGAATGGGTTCTGGGTTGGCCTTGAGGGAAGAGGTGGGCCTTCATGTATTGGGGCGGAGCCTGAGTGAGTGGGGCGGGGCTAACCGTGACTGGCAGGGGTCGTGCTCTACTGGCTAGAGGGAACACTGAAGAGCAAGATGCTCTGAACTGTGAGGCTGAACTGGTTTGAGAGGTCTGGAATGGATTGGGATGCGTTATCCCTAAATTAGGGTTGGAATGTAATGGCAAAGGATGGGGCTTAAGCTTGAGATTAGGGGCCAAGAATCTGGGAGAGAATGGGAAAAAGAGGTTGGGAATTGAAAAATCAGTATGAGTGTACAATACCAGGTGGTGAAGGGAAAAGGGGCTATAGAAAGCTTTGGGTTAGGATTCAGATAGAGCTGCATTGTTAGAACATCCACAAAAGCAGGGTTATCAAATGCAAAAATTCAGAAGTGGGAACCAGCTTGTCATTTTGAGGGAATAGACTGAAGGCCAGAGATATGAATTAAGAGGGTAGAGAAATCAAGAGAGACACAGATGGCTGTAGATCCAGGAAATCATGAAGATGAGGCAGGAGATCACAAATTGGAGGCCAGCCTCAGCAACTTGGTGAGGCCCTAAGCAACTTAGCAAGACCATGTCTCAAAAAAAAAAAAAAAAAAAAAAGCTGGGGCTATAACTCAGAGGTAAAGTGCTATTGGGTTTAATTCCGAGTGCCAACCAAAAAGGAGGGACCAAGGCTAGATTTCCCATGATTAGATGAATTTCAAGAGGAATTAGCAATGTAATAGCAAATATCTTAGACTCTGGAGAACTTTGGCCAGGGTTTCAGTCTCAATTCTGTCCCAGATGTGTGATCTTGGGCAAGTCAGATAACCTCTTTGGACTCAGTTATCACATCTGGAAAACAGGGATAATTATTAGTATACCTCTCTCCTAGAGTTTTCTCAAAGATTAAGTGAGCTGGTAATATAAAAATCTTTAGAACTGTGCCTATGGTAAACTCTATGAAGAAAAATCTTGGGCCAGGCATGGGATGCAGTCCTAGCAACTTGGGAGGCTGAGGCAGAAGGATTGCAAGTTTGAGGCCAACCTCAGCAATTTAGTAAGAACCTGATTAAATTAGTGAGAACCTGTTTCAAAAAAATAAAAAGGGAGGCTGGGGTTGTGGCTCAGTGGTAGAGCGCTTACCTAGCATGTGCAAGGCACTGGGTTCAATCCTCAGAACCCCCATAAAAATAAATAAATAAATAGAGGTATTGTGACCAACTATAACTAATAGATAGATAGATAGATAGATAGATAGATAGATAGATAGATAGATAGAGGGTTGGAGATGTGGCTCAATGGTAAAATCCCTGGGTTTAATCCCCAGTAACAACAACAACAACAACAACAAAAAGAAAATCTTCTTGGACTGGGGATGTGGGTCAGTGGTAGAGCACTTGCTTAGCATGTGCAAGGCCCTGGGTACCATCCCCACCTCATAGAAAGCACCCCAAAAGGAAAAAACAGGTGATCTGTTACAATTGTTGTCTATGCTTCTGTTTCTGTGTCTGTTTCTTTCTAACTCTTCTCAATTTCTCCCTTTTTCTCTCTGTCTTTCTCTTCCTGTGGTTATCCTTGATTTTGACTCCATCTGCTCAGACTTCCTCTTCAAATTCCTGGTGATCGGCAGTGCAGGAACTGGCAAATCATGTCTCCTTCATCAGTTCATTGAGAATAAGTGTGAGTTTCCAGCAGTGGTCTCAGCAGCACTGAGCTGTGGGTAGGTGGGCAGCTGATGGGTTGGGCATGACTGGTCATAGATCCAACTCCATTGCTGGGCCTTGCCTTGGTGTGCTGTTTGCTAGGTTCACAGTCACCCCAGCAATGAGAATGGGTTTGTAGAGACAAGAGGCCTTGGAGGATGGGGGATCCTCTGAGCCTCTGCATGCCTCCTCTCTCCTTCCCATTCCCAGTCAAACAGGACTCCAACCACACAATCGGTGTGGAGTTTGGATCCCGGGTGGTCAACGTGGGTGGGAAGACTGTGAAGCTACAGATTTGGGACACTGCTGGCCAGGAGCGGTTTCGGTAGGTGGGCCGGGCTTCCAAGGAGGGAGGGAGGGGAGGAGGGGGAGAGAGAGGTGTGTGCACTCCAAGACACAGTAATAGGAGTAAAAAGACGATGAGAAGGCGAGGCAGAGGAGAGAGCTTGCATAAGGTCCTGGGTTCCATCCACAGCACCACAAGAAAGGGAAGGAATGGGAAGGGAAGAGAAAGGAAGGGGAAAAAAGAAAGGAAGACTTGAGGTTGAGGAGTAGAGTTTGAGAGACCCTAAAGCAGAAATAGAAGCAGAAGCATGAAAGACACACACTCAGAAAAGAAAGGCAAGAGAAAGGGAGACTGAGAAAGATGAAGATGAAAAGAATGATAAAGCAGGTAAGGAGATTCAAAGAGAAACAGGTCAGAGTGGGAGAAGGACAGGGAGGGTGAACAGTTGTAGCCAGGAGGATGGAGAAATGGATGTCTAGGGGAGAAGAAGATAGATGTGTAGGGTTCAGCACATAGTAGGTCTTCAGAAAAATGTCTGCAGAAAAGTTGATAGACATAGAAATTCTGAGAGTCTGAGAAACAGACAGGGAAGAGAGAGAAACAAGGAGTTCAGTCCATGGAGAACATGCTCTCTCGGCAACACTTAATAGGTGCTGAGTGTTGACCGACCGCATGAGCTGCGGAGAGCCCAGAGACAGAGATGGGGAAGGAGAAACAGGTGTGTGACATGGGTTGGATTTGCAGTAAGTGCTCAATAAATGTTTGTGGAATGATTGCCTGAGTGCAGAGGGATCCAGATTGATGAGACAGGGAAATAAAGTTGGCCATGGGGATGTAGCTCAGTGGTAGAGCGCTTGCCTAGCACGTGTGAGGCACTGGGTTTGATTCTCAGCACCACATATAAGCAATTAAATAAATAAATAAAGGTCCATCAATAACTAATTAAAAAAAAAAAAGAAAAGAAAAGAGTTGGCCATGCTGGGAAGGAGGCCTCCATCAGACACAGCAGAAGAGGGACAAGTATATATTGCATCGCACTGGGTAGGGCTGGGTAAAGGGGAGATGCTCAGAAAATGCTGAATGAATGAGGGCAAAGGCAAAAATAAGTATGAGAGCCAGAGTCAACGAGAGACAGGAGGAAACAGACTTAAAGGCACATAGCTGAAGTGAAGCACAACGGCAGAGTGCTTGCCTAGTGAGGCCCTGAGCAAGATCCCCAGCACTGCAAGGAGAAAAGCTAGACACTACACATGTAAACCATATACAGAAAAAGAAACAGACCAATGCACAGGTTCAGAAAGACAGGGACACAGAGACAGAAGTAGGTAGACAAAGAGCTAAGTGAGAGAGAAGTTGAAAGAGAGAGAGACAGGCAGAGAAATTATCTCCACCAAAGCTAGGTTTGGGGGCTGGGCCAGCAGTGAGAGGGTCCTCTGAATCATCAGTTTCTCTGTGCAAAGGGGGACAGTCTTGGGGCACACCCCAGCCTTGGGGATGACTGGGTCCCCCTGGCCCCACAGGTCGGTGACACGGAGTTATTACCGAGGGGCGGCTGGAGCCCTGCTGGTGTATGACATCACAAGGTGGGTATGGGCTACTCAGCATGAGCAGCGTGGTTGGGGTGGGACATGGGTGGCCTCTCTCCTGTGCCACCTTCCTTCTCTGTCCCTTTTCCATAGCCGGGAGACATACAATTCACTGGCTGCCTGGCTGACTGATGCCCGCACACTGGCCAGCCCCAACATTGTGGTCATCCTCTGTGGCAACAAGAAGGACCTGGACCCCGAGCGTGAGGTCACTTTCCTGGAGGCTTCCCGCTTTGCCCAGGAGAATGGTGAGGGCTCTGCTGTGGACTGGGTGGGGGAGGAGGGACGGGACTGGTCACTGTGGCCCGTGTGTCTCCTAGCTGTCAATGGCTGTGCCCTATAGGTGGAGGTTCAGAGGTCTGGGTTCAAATGTGAGTGTTGGGCTGTGTTTCACTCTGGTCCTCAACTTCCTCAGCTGTAAAGTGCAGTCAAAATGTTTCTGTCTCATGTGTGCTGGGTAAGGAGGCCACCCACCGTGGAAGGCCCTCAGTAAACTCTGGCAGAGTGGGTGCTAGATGAACATTGGCTTCTGGGAAGTTTCCACCACGTGGGAGGCAGCTCATGGTACTTACTGGTTTAAGGTAGAGATTGCACCAGTAACTTGGGAGTCTGAGGCAGGAGAGTCACAAGTTCAAGGCCAGCCTGGGCAACTTAGTGAGACCCTGTCTCTAAATAAAAAGGACAGGTACTCAGTGGTAGAGCAATCTTGGATTTAATCGCCAGTAACACTAAATAAATAAGTAAATAGAATAAAAATAAGGTAGAGATTGTAACTTATGTGGCCTATGGACAG